AGAATTCCTATGATGGATTAAACTGTAAAATCGTGCATGGAGGATAATTGACAGACTCGTTCGAAGTGAAGACTGGTGTCAGGCAAGGTTGCTTACTCTCACCCCTTCTCTTTCTCCTGGTGATCGCCTGGATCATGAAGACGTAAACATCTGATGGGAAGCACGTGATATAGTGGACATCTAGGATGCAGCTAGACTTCGCAGATGATCTCGCTCTACTGACGCACACACAACAACAAATGCAGAATATGACCAGGGCAGCAGCAGCCTCAACAGCAGTGAGTCTCAATATACACAAAGGGAAGGGCAAGATTCTCCGATACAACATAGCATGCAACAATCCAGTCACAATTGACGGAGAAGATTTGGAAGATGTAAAAACCTTTACATATTTGGGCAGCATCATTGATGAACACAGTCGATCTGATGCAGATGTGAAGGCGCGGATCGGAGCAAGAGCAACATATTTACAACTGAAGAACATCTGGAACTCAAAACAAGTGTCTGTCCATCAACATCAAGGTCAGGATTTTCAATACAAATGTCAAGACAGTTCTACTGAATGGAGCGAAAACCTGGAGAACTACGAAAGACATCCATCATCCAGAAGGTACGGGTGTTTACTAACAGTTTTCTACGTAAAATACAACAGATCCGTTGGCCAGACACAATCAGCAGCAACCAATGTGGGAGAGAACAAACCAGATTCCAGCAGAGGAAGGATTCAGGAAGAAGCCTTGTAAGCGGATAAGACACACATTGAGGAAAGCACGCAACTGCATCATAAGGCAAGTCCTCATATGGAAACCTCAAAGCCAAAGGTGGAGAAGAGTAAGACCAAAGATCAGATTAAACGGGAAATGAAGATAGACGTGAAAAAAATGAACAAGAATTGGATGGAAAAGGACGGAGTGTGTTGGAGAATACTGGTTGGCGGCCTATGCTCGATTGTGAGTAACAGGTGTAGGTAGGTAAGTAAGTAAGTAAGTAAGTAAGTAAGTAAGTAAGTAAGTAAGTAAGTAAGTAAGTAAGTAAGTAAGTAAGTAAGTAAGTAAGTAAGTAAGTAAGTAAGTAAGTAAGTAAGTAAGTAAGTAAGTAAGTAAGTAAGTAAGTAAGTAAGTAAGTAAGTAAGTAAGTAAGCAAGTAAGTAAGTAAGTAAGTAAGTAAGTAATTATAATAGACTTTAAATCACTTAGGTAAAATTCAGTGGTTTATGATTTTAAATTCAGTGATTTGATGATATAACTGGATCACTATACTGTACCGTAAGTGAGTTTCTGTCTCTATATCGACTTGATTTTTTCCGTGAACCACAGCTTGAAGTGTTTCAACAGATATCGAATTTCAACTGTACTATAGAATAATTTAAATGATTTAATGTCACCCGTCTCCGTAATCACAAATTTAATTTGCACTTTCGTCAGGTGAATCAGGGAAATATAGACTCAAACACGTATAAAATTTGAATAAACTTCACAAAATGATGGAATACATGTTACATGAATATAATACGTTAATATATATACAATAGCCGAAATGATGTAGAGTAGTTTGAATTTTTGAAATGTCTATCATTGGCTGGTTTAGGTAACCTAGTTTAAGCTATTAAAAAACGCCAAATTAACTTCAAATCGAACATCGACTAAATCACATGAAATTTCAACGTTTATCGAAAAACGAATTAAAGAAGAAGTTTCTTCATTACTTTGTTAAGACAACAAATTTAAAAGAATCACTGACGAGTCATTTATTTTCATAACAGATTACATTCACATTGAAGATACTATTATTTATTTGAACACATAAATATTAGTACAAGGGGGCACCATATATATATATGCGCCACACAAATCTCATTTGATTTGTGTGAAGGCTGTGGTACTGCCCGGGTGCTCAAAGTGAAACAGGTGGTTTACTCAGGGGGTCACATCCGGAGCCTTCGACCTAAAAGTTTGATCCATAAGACAGTGGAACATCGTAAGGAGATGAAATCCCATGGTAGTCGGTGACCAGTAATTGGTTCATACGCCATTTGTCCATTCAGGATACTGGGGGCCATGTGCACCAATGGTTTTGAACCAGGGTTTCCCAACTCCCCTAGGTGGATCTTCCGTGTGCACTGACCCGGTTAAAGCTCTGGAAATTCGCTTGTTGTCCTCTCAATTTTGTAAACAACACGCCCACCACGAGAAGTGTTGGGGATGTCAGATCCCCAGAACTCACTGGGTAAATGCCTTAATTTTATAATTTTATTTTGGAAATTTAGATTCCTTTGTTTTCGCACCAAAAGCACACTTTTCACCTTCATGTAGTATTTCCCACTTGGGAGAATCTTTAACCCTATTGATCCGTTGTGTATTTTTAGTATGCTATTTTCGCAACGCTTCCCGAGGACAGTTTTATGCTGTATACATACGTTTGATTTGTGTCTGTTATTATTCACTCGTGCTTCTGGCTTACGGAATATATTTTCCCGTTCCAAACTTGAACTTCTTCCTCTAGTTAGCGGGGCTGGAACGCATCAAGAAGGCAGTGAGCAGGACTTCCCTGGCAGAGGCTATATACGCGTGGTCATGTAAGAGCATTTGGTAAGGGAGAGCGAACTCTCCCCACTCTCGGCCGTACCAAGACATTTGGGGGCTATTGGAACTGTCAGACAATTTCATTTGAAATATCTGAAGGATAGAATATTATCTGTAGGAATAAAAGCAAAAAATCACTACAGATATTGAAAGTTGTACAGTTGAAATAGCTTATTATCATGACAAGCACTTTAAGATAAATTGTTTGCAGCTTGATGTAATCTGTATCGTTGCCTTGTAAATCAGAAATGTAGTTCATGGAACTTGGAAAAAGTGATCTAAATACATCACATTCATTACTAGTGTAGTGTATGAGAATACAGGCTGCGACAAACAAATTACAGAATCTCTTAGTAAAATCTGAGAACCATTAAGTAAATAATTCATTTGCAAAATGTCAATCAATTGTCTCACACTTGATTGTTTCTTTATTTCCACACCAATCACCCTCTTTTCTCGTTCTATTCTCTTCAATCTTTTTAATTTTCTGCTGCCAGACATATCACTTTCGATTGGTGATGCTTACTACTTTTTTTATATGTCAATATCAGTAACACACACCACACTAGATATGAAGGTCATGTATACATTTGTGACATAGTACTACTGAGAAGTCTCATACTAAGATGAAGTTACAGTTTAAAATATATAAACCTTAACAAATCACATATTTCAATACGATATTCTCCTCGTTCACAATGAGGTGACTTTATCACAAATGCAATATACAATATAACGTTCGAGATTTCAAAGCCGTTTTTTAACCAATAGGGAGAATACCTGTTGTTATTAAAAGTATTTTGCTTGGAAATTAAGGAAACCTATCAAAGTATATTGTATCTATGGGAGGGGGAGGTCATTAATTTTTTCAAGGTTAACTATTAGTTTTCTGATAGTACTAAAGAATTTCACTAATCTAAATGTGAATAAACTTCTTTTATGGACCCATTCCGTTGTTATTAACAGGTGTACGGAAAATTACTAATTGTCAATACTATCTTTATCATTGAATTCACTAAATGAATGGTCAACAAGATTAGGTTATATGATGATGATATGAATGTCACACATAAAATCGTAGTACATTATGCATTTCTACTCTGTTGGCTCGATATAATGTTTTGGTTGAAGGTTTAAATTGTATAAAAACCAGTAAAACAGAACCTTTCTACTTTATGTATGACATAAAAACCTGGTTCATAAAGAATGTATTACTGGTGGTTCCTTTCCACACTGTCATTTCCTGTCTATGATGGTAGAATAATTTGTTTTTGTCAATTAAACGTTTTTTCTCAATGCTTTTTTATCTGAGAAATTAAAAAGAACGTATACAATCATGGAAGTAATATCTTTTCACGAGTTAATGAAAACTAGACCACCATGAAAAATCTGGAATCACTGGACGACTCTGTCGTCTTAGTATGAAACTTCTCATATCCCGTGAGCCGGATCGTAAATGCACACTGCTGAAGAGTCCCATACTAGGACGAAATGGCCGTTTAGTGCTTTCAGGTTTTTTTTATAGTGATCTAGTTTTAATTGACTCATGAATGCCACTATTCAATTACTATGATCTTTACAAACCCCTTCCCCTTTCTTTTCGTTGAATCCAATATACATCATCATTATAACGGTAAGAGTAATCTTTTATTTCAATGGTTAAGATCATGAGTCAGTTGAAGCTAGACCACCATGGAAAACCTGGAAGCACTGGACGGCCGTTTCGTCCTACTGTGGGACTCGTCAGCAGTGCGCATCCACGACCTCGCTCCCTGCGAGATTCGAACCCAGGACCTACTGGTTTCTCACAGGGGGCGAGGTCGTGGATGCGCACTGCTGACGAGTCCCACAATAGGACGACACGGCCGTCCAGTGCTTCCAGGTTTTCCATGGTGGTCTAGCTTCAACTGACTCATGATCTTAACCATTGAAATGACTACAATCTCCACAAAAAAACCCATCTGATATTAATCTTTTATTCTTTTCATTCAAAAGTATTTCAATTTCAATGATAATTTTACGAAATTAAAAAAAATAATTATCTAAATAAACATCAATATGTTATCATTACTGAATATTCAACATATTCAATAACACAATAAAGTTCTTTAAACTTTACTTCGATTCCTATTGGATAGATAGTCCATTTTGAAATGATAATAACAAGTTACAATGTACATTTGAATAAGAAACAAAAGAAAAAAGGGAATATACAAATGTATTTAAGTGTTTATCCTTTTTTTTTAGAAAAAAACCCCCTGTTCTTATTCAATCTTGTTTTATTTTAAACAAAACTAGCTTCTCTAATTGTTTTATAAGTATATTTGCCTACATCCGATTTTGATAATCTATTGACTGTGATTAAATCTGAATCATAATGTTCTGATTTGATAATTTCTTTTGAATGAATTGAATTATCGGTCATTTGATTATCATGATGATGGTGATAAGGATGATGAAGATGATGATTATTATCATTAATATCAACGATCAATGGTAATGAACTAGTTATAGTTGGTGAATATTGAAATGAATGATGAAATGTTCCATTTTTATTTGATCATTACAGATAAGATTATCAATATAATCAGTTTCATTATCAATAGACATGTTGATATTATTATTTAAAGGTATAGTTGAATTCTTAGATTTAACATAAATCGGTAATTCCTCTAAATGATCTACGGTTATTGTTGTATTAATACTATCATTATTGATATTGTTATTGTCAGTGTTATTTGATGGTTCATGATTACCTGATATGACATTCTCATCACAAATATGATCATTATCTTTACTAATATCACCTTGATTTTTTACTAATAATTGTTGACATTCTTGTTCATTTTCTAATGGTAAAGGTGATTGATGATGACGGTGTTGGTGATGGTGGTGTTTAGTCTTGTTTGGTAAACATATCTTTAAATTATCCGTATATATTATTCTAGGAGATATAAGAAGATCGTCATGATGTTGTGGGGCATGAAATGTTTTATAATGAATCTGATCCCTTGAACAAACCAACCGATTTGTATCATGATGATGATAAGTTAGCATAGGATTTGGGTCAGTATTCATGACAATTGATTGATGATTGTGCCGTCTTAATGTTGCTTGTAGTAATGAAATATCCTGGTAAGAAGAAAGCGGATGTTGTTGGTTTCGATGTTCCTGCTGTTGTGGTTTGAAGCGATGATGAAATGATCTTAAATTTGTGGGATTTTGTAATTGATTTATGGGATAAACTGGTAGCGAATTACCTCGAAAATGCATTGGATGTCTATTCGGATTAGGTGACATAGCATAGATTAATGTAGGCGTTTTAGATGACATTTGTTCACTTCCTTCATTATTCATTGTTGATTCTGTATAAATGATTGACTGGTGACTCATACTCACTGGAGAATTCAATCGTTGTAGACTCATTGGTAACCAATTACGATTATTAGTGCCTATATGGTTTAAGCCAATGGCTTCAACATTCTGGATAGTTTGATGTGACCTTTGGTCAAAAAATGGAGTTAAACAACGTGAAATATGTGATATTCTATTATCAACTGTTGGAGCTAAACATTGATATTCATTATCGACATCGAAACGTGAATTAATTGGATGTTGTACACACTGTGGGCTATATGTGCATTTATTTAGATTGCTCTGTAATTCCGATGTAACCAAAGCAGATTGATGTGTTGGTCTATTCAATGTGGTATTAAATAGAAGTCGAGGTTCAGAATTTCTTTGAATAAGAGGGTAAGAATCTGAAAGAAAAGGTAATCGAAAAATATTACACATTATACTGATTGCTAATTATTTCTTATCAGAAGGGGGTTTTGTGAACATTATAGTAAGTTCAATGGTTGGGATCATGGATCACTTGAAGCTAGACCTGCTGAGGAGTCCCACAATGGGACGAAACGACCATCCAGTTCTTCCAGATTTTCCACGGTGGTCTAGCTCCAACTGACTCATGATCTCAACCATTGAAATTATTTTTTGAACAAATAATTAGTTAATGCTTTTCAGACACGATGTGTCGCTTTACTTCAAAATCACTACCGATTTTATATGAAAAAGCAACTCAATTTAAACAACAATTTTATGTTGCCTTGAATAAACTCTTGGTCAGTCAACTACATCGCATAAAAACGAACTACGTCATTGAAAAACATGTTACTTGTCAGTTTTCATGATAGTACTGAATTTGTTCAAAATACTGAAAAGTAAACAACATATTTTGATATATAGGCTAACCACTGTAAAAACCAACATGCTCAAGTACAAATACAGTAGAGGATTGTTTTGTTTTTCAAAAGTCAGAATATATACAGATACTGATCGATATACCTTTGAATAATAACAGCGATGGAAAGTACTCGAACTCTCTCAACTTATCAGGATTTGCAGAGGTATTCCTTTAATAAAACTTTTGAGAGTCTACGCCAATTCTTCAAAAGAATCTTTAGAAACTGAAAGATGCTTGAAAATATTTCGTTCAATAAGCGTTCTAGAAACTGCCTGTCCGAAGCCCTGGTAAAGTAGGAGGGTTTGGCATGCGGTCAACAACCTCACCCCTTAGAAAACAACCTTGATTAGAAAATGATAACCAGAAAAAAACAATCAAAACCATTTAAATTCTGCTCTTCGAGTGGAAGGATCGTCATTCACAAGAATTCCCACGTTCCATGGCGAAATACGAGATTCTTAGGAAGTCACGAGGCCGATGTCCCTTCTAATAAGCAGACCAACAATTAATATATGTACATGGAATGTCTGGACGATGTGGTAGACTGCGAGGGCCAATCAAATAGTTACAGAAATGGGGTGATACAAGTTGATGGTTCTCGGAATCAATGAAATCCATCGGACCAAAGACGGACAGAAAAGGACAGATTCAGGAGACATGTTGCTGTACTCTGATCATGAAGAAGCTGCATAGATTTCACTGGATTACACTACAGAGAATCAGATAGATCATGTTCGCATCAAGTAAAAAAATTCAGAAGGACAATGGAAGATATGAGAACCAGGAGAGGAGCTAACAGCTTCAGATCACCACCTGATTGTGGCCAAGATGAAATTGAAGCTAAAGAACCAATGGGCAGCTGGAGAAACAACACTACGACGGTTCAATACAACCTTCCTACAACATACTAACAAACTCAACGAATTCAAGATAATTCTCAACAACAGGTTCCAAGTCTTACAGCATCTAGTTAAAGATGAAAGTACTATGGAAGACAACCAGAGTAGGATTGAAGAAGCAGTAACTTCAAAGTGTCAGGAGGTTCTGGGTCTCAAGAAGCACCAACATAAAGAATGGGTCTCTATCAAAACCCTGGACAAGACTCAGGAAAAGAAGAACATGAAGACAAGAATTAACAACAGCCAAACAAGAACAGATAAAGTCAAGGCACAACCTGAATACACAGAAGTAAACAAGCAAGTGAAGAAGAGTATTAGAGTCGACAAGCAGAAATACGTGGATGAGCTAGTAACGACAGCGGAAAAAGCTGCAAAAGAAGGAAATATGAAACAACTATATGACACGACAAAGAAACTGACAGGGAAATATTGTAAGTCAGAGAAACCGGTCAAGGACAAAGGACGCAAGCTAATCACTGAGATTCAAGAACAGATAGGTGGAACATATCGAGGAACCATTGAATAGACCAGCTCCATTGAATCCACCGGAAATCGAAACAGCACCTACAGATTTTCCTAAAGATGTCACTCCACCAACGACCGAAAAAGTCAGGATGGACATCAGACTACAGAACTACAAAGAAATCGCATTCCCATCGGTACCAGGAAAATTTTTCAACAGTGTTGCTGAGCCGGATGAAAGACTTGACACGACGGGATGAAAAGTCAAAACTAGACTGATTTACTCATCATGATTTTTATTCAACATTAATTCCGTCTTTTTAATCCAATGTATTGATTACTCAATGTAGTATTTGTTTTGTTTTTCTGTATAACATACGGCATTCTTGTATTAAATTAACATGAACTATACTCAGCATATGACTTTTTATAACCCCAAGTATTTATCATATATGTGATTTCATCCTAATTATTAATCAAAAATGGGTGCATGAATCAATATATAAATGAGTGTATTTCCGACTAGACTTGTCGTAGTTGTTCTTGCTTCTGGCTGCTTGTGAAATATATTTCCCTCTTCCGAATTTAGATTTGTCTCTCTAGTTAGCTAAGCTGGGACGCGTCGGAATAGCTAGTTTATCTGTCATTGTGTCACAGAGTCTTCGTTTTGTTCTCAGATTAGGTAAACTCGTGATCTCTTCGGTAGATACCCAGTTTCGACAGACCGGATTCCGTAAGGATCGGTCGTGCACAGAACGAATGGCGACACAAGGGATCATCGTTGAACAATCAATCGAATGGAACTCGTCACCATACATCAACTTCCTTGACTATAAGAAAGAAATTGACAGCGTGGATAGGAGAACCTCACGGAACCTTCTCTGAAACTATAGAGTGAGTAGCTGAAAAGATCGTCAAAATCATATGGAATTCCTACGATGTGCTGCACTACAAAGTCGTGCATGTAAAACCGCTGACAGACGCATTCCAAGTGAGTATCAGAGTCAGAAAACGCCACTTACTCTCCCCCTTCCTTTTCCTTCCGGTTGTTGACTGGATTATGAAGACCTCCACAGCAGAGAGGAAGCAAGAAATACAATGGACAGCATGGTTGCAACTGGACGATTCGAACTTCGTAGATGTCCTGGTCCTTCTATCACATACACACGAACAAATGTGGCAGAAGTCTCTGCACCAGTGGGTCTCAACATGTATAAGGAAAAAAAGCAAGATCCTCAAATACAACACAGAGAACACCAACTCAATCATACTTGAGGGAGAAAATCTGGAAGAACTGGAAAATTTCATGCAACTAGACAGCATCATCGATGAACAAGGAGGGTCATATGCAGACGTAAAGGCGTGGGTTGGCAAAGCAAGGGCCCCATTGCTACGGTTGAAGAACATGTAGAAGTCCAAACAACTGTCAATCAATACCAAAGCCACGAGCTTCAATACTAACCTCAGGACAGTGAGTTCTACTGTACGGAACTACCACAACCATCATCAAGAAGGTACAAGTATTTATAAACAGTTGTCTACGCAAGATACTCAACAACCATTGTCTGGATACTATCAGCAGCAGCCTACTGTGGCAGAGAACAAACCAGCTTCGAACTGTAGAGAAAATTAGGAAATACATTGGAAATGGGTAGGACATACATTACGCAAATCATCAAACTGCATCACGAGGCAAGCGATAACTTGGAATGCTGAACAGAAACGGAAAAGAGGAAGGCCAATGAACAAAGTGCGTCGAGAATTGGAATCAGACGTAAAAAAAATGAAAACAACTGGAAACGATTGTCCAGGACAGAGTTGGATGGAGAATGCTAGTGGGTGGTCCGTGCTTCTCCATGAGGGATAACAGCCATAAGTAAGTAAGTGTTTAAGTACTAGGTGTCCCAAGAATTTTGGGCAATCAGTGTTTATCGACATACTTTTCAAACTTCAATGATAAAATCAATTAAAATATGACCTAGTCCTAAAACGTCAAAATATCAGATATTTTTGACTATCCAGGAATGCTTTAGACAATACAAACAATTTGTAATTTTATGCGCTTATGTTTTTCTGTTGTTGACATGGAGGACTGCAGGTGATCAGTCTCCAAAGTGGATTACCTAGGTTTTCATTTGTTAAAGTTAGAAGTAACCAGAGATGGTATTCAGGATGTGCATTTCTTTTTATTTATTACTAGTCAGTTGGGCGTACCTGAATTTCAGTGCTGGTTTTCGTAATAAGACTCGACCCCAGTACTTTTCGGATTGAATGCCCGAGACTCAATCCTTGGTGGAGTATTAGGTATGCACTGCCGAGGGGTCACATACTAGAATGAAACAATGTTCAATGCTTTCTGGTTTTCAACAGTACTACAACTGAGATGATTCCGTGAGGAATCTTCACAGAACCCGTTGTTCTTTCTTATCTCTTAGAAAGTTAAACAGCTTAGAGATAACCGTTATCATGAACTAAAAACAGCTGAAGAACTACTGCAAACCTAGTTGTCTATTATTGGTCGGTAGCTCCTCATTATTATGCACTTCAAACCCCCCACACCAAAAACACATTTCATAAGGAGTTAAAATACAATGATCTATAATTTTATACCAAATCAATTTATGATGTAGAGTAATATTCAGTTGATATAGCCTGTAGATAACCATTTAACTTCACAGTTTGCAACTCCTTAGAAGAATTGCTGGAAATCCATCTCCAGGCTAGTTACTTGTAAATGAATCGTATAATTTTAAATGAATAAATTCACTTTGCTGTATCAAACAAAAAATTGTCCAACAAAAGTTGACGACTAGTTTCTATAACGAAGACGTAAGAGCAACTTACATAAGATTAAGATTAGAAAGAAGATTGAGGCTTTGAGATTAGAATTCATATAGTTTAGGATTGAAGTTAAATATTAGAATTTAAGAATAAAATAAAGGGATTAAGTTACACATAAAAGAACTTTGAAATCATATCCTAATCTTAAACTTGAAATCTTAACTGATAACCTTAAATGGGGAGACTATAATTTATGGATGACCTTTGAGCGAAGCTAAAATAACCTTGAGAGTGCCTACTTACTAGGACTAAATGAGGGTAATAAAGCAGTTTGAAGAATAAGGATTATGATTTACAGTTGACGGTTAGGGTTAGGAATTAGATTTAATGCCAAGACCCGATTTAACCAAATGGGTGAATGAATTTCGCGCTAAAATCTAAGACCGGTTATCGTAAATCTGATTAGTTCGTCCATAAATTATAGTCTCGCCCCTTAAATTGTGAAACTTAATCCCACTACTAAATCCTTAATTTGCAAACAACAAAAACATTAAATCTGTATTCTAATTGATTAAAACAAGGTCAAAAATTTGTCCAAGTAGTTTAAAGTGTCACTTAAACTCAATCCCCTTTATCATATCTATTTAAGTAATATATACATATGTCAATGGTTAAGATCATGAGTCAGTTGAAGCTAGATCACCATGGAAAACCTGGAAGCACTGGATAGCCGTTTCGTCCTATTGTGGGACTCCTCAGCAGTGCGCATCCAAGACCTCGCCCTCTGAAAGGTTCAAACCCAGAACCTACTGGTTCCGCGCGCGAGCACTTAACCACTAGACCACTGAGTCGGCATCCGACGGTGTTAATGTCTAACTTCAACTAATCCACGAAATTGAACGACACATTCACCATTGTCTTCAGTGAGTTACTATCTCACAACAGACCTGGTTGAACTCTACTGGTCATTGAAAATACTACAATCTCCACAAAACTCATCTGATATTAACCAACATATGCTCACCAGTGATTAGCTTCACGAAGTATATCCTGGAGTTCTAGTGAGAATTAGAGACCAGTGGAGTTCAACCAGGTCTGTTTGGGTTTGAACATTTCAGAGGGCGAGGTCGTGGATGCGCACTGCTGAGGAGTCCCACAATAGGACGAAACGGCCGTCCAGTGCTTTCGGGTTTTCCATGGTGGTCTAGCTTCAATTGACTCATGATTTCAACCAGCAAAAGTTATTTATTTATTTATACAGTAACCACGTGAAATGTAAAAGTTTTAGTCAAATTTTAATAGAAAATTCTGTTACAAAAACATACACACCTTGCTGACGAGTGCCAAGTAGCACGAAACCCGGGTCCAGGGTTTCCTGTTGACTACCTCCAACCACCATCTAATCTCAATATATAGTGACTAAAAGCGGAATTTAAGACACATGTTTTATAAATCACTGCCTTTATCGTCTATGATTAATGCGTTTAAAGTAGGATGAAATTATTTGATATTCATATCGAAATTTTACTCTTCATTATGGAGTAAAATAAGTTGGAAATAGATAGAAAATCAAAAATCATTAAGATCTTCTTTTCAGTCTCCTAAGAAACACGAAGTCAATAACTATGTTGTTGTGAACAGTTGAGTTGAACCTAATGAAAAACAGTTATATTTATAGTTGATTTTCATTACTACACTAACATCATCCAGTTAATATCAACCAATGGTGTGAATTAATTTTCAGTTACAAAAAACTTCAATAAGTTCCTCATCTCCATATCATGTTACTTTTTCACTAATTTTGGGCGACCAGCTAGTGTATAGATTATCATTGTACAAATGCCACCTCTACAGTTCGGTGGTAACTTATCTGGTTGAGGTATAGATCGATGAAATTTTCAAATCTTTGATGATATTTAAGTTCTCTTGAGATCACGGATATGTCTTCGTAATCAATATCAGTTAGCATAGAGTTTAAGCTTACGTTCTCATTACAGCTGTCTCCGACAAATTAACATTAGAAGTATTGAAATCTCATAATGAGTCACTTTGATGACCACACTGTAGAGTCAATCAACAGAACTCGAGTAACACTAGGAATCATATGTTATGATTTTGCTTAACAATTGACGGCTGATAAGAAATCGGGACTATTATTAACGTACTAGAACGGTCGATTATAGAAACAACACATTCATTTTCTCACATACCATATCAGAGTCAAGCGGTAAGTAAAAACTTTCAAATGAGGTATGCCATTGAAAGAAATAGATTATGCCCCTACTTGAAGTCTCAGTCTACATATCATTGTCTTAGTCAGAAAAACAATTGCATAAACACACGTGACTTATCTGTACTATAGTTTGGTTAGGTAATTGAGTTTTACTACATATTTCAGTCTTTTTATTCTCATGATGGGTTTAGTATACTTTAGGAACTGAATCAAACGACAGAATACTACACAGTCACTAAATATAACTGACGATTCCAAACAAATCTAGTTTCATTTCAATGAACAGAAATGACCTGATTCAAAATCATATGTTACCAATACAAAGAGCTTTATTTCGCTACATAATGAAACGCATAACACAACTCTGCAAGGTGTTGTAACACTTTTATATCAATTTAAATTAAATCTAAATGTATAAGTTTAAAAGATGTCTAAAAAGATAACACTTACCATGTGGATTTTGAAGCATATCAGTTGATAAAGTTATCGATTTCTCTGTAGCGCCAAGAGATCTATCATTAATACATGACATTTCATTAGAATTTATTGTAATGTCTGTTGCACTGATCATATTATCTGGGATTGCACGATATAATGATGCAGTATTTCTTGACAGTTCAATTGGCTATATTTTTCAAAAGAACACAATGAATGAAAATGTTTTTTCAGTGAACGGGAAATTAGTTTCAATTGTTAAGATCATGAGTCAATTAGAGCTAGACCACCATGGAAAACCTGGAAGCAATGGGTGGCCGTTTCGTCCTATTGTGGGACTCCTCAGAAGTGCGCATCGACAATCCCGCTCGCAGGATTCGAACCTAGGACTTATCCCCCTCGCGCGCGAAATTAATTAATTGAATTAAGCCTCCTCATTGGATAGATATTGCTTAGAATAAGAATTTATAGTACAAGCAGTAAGCTTATTTTTATGATAGCATTGAAGATCAACGAACGATTCAAGATCTTACTTTATCTGTCTTATATATATATATATATATATATATATATATATATATATATATATCAAATTCACTACCTAAACCGTGCTTAATTCAGTAGTTTGCAATAATTCACTAGTCAATAAGATCATGGTGTAGTGAAATTATCATCGAATTCACAAAATACCGACAGATCAATAGCTAGTAAATCCATTATCAGATATAGACGGTTGAATCATTTCAAAAACGTCTCATAACAGTCCATGTTTTAAAACAACTACAAATTTCGGTTAACGTTTAACTAAAAAAGGAAGAAAAAACTAGGGAAGAATATTATTGTTAATGATCAAAGCCTATATAAAGATTAACCAAACTATCATTTAATTACCAGAGGGAGATTGTTCTTGTGTAATATCATAGACTAATCTTGACTAAATAACATAAGTAAACCAAGAAGTATTGAACGATTATTTCATCTCAGTATACTACCAGAGACCAAACACATGACTTTCGGTCTTGTGCTCGGACGTTAACTTCTAAACCACTAACTCAGCATCCAAGTATGTAGTTGTCTGACTTCAGTCGGTTTATGATATTATTTAATAACCTTCTAATGTCAGTGTTGTATAACTTCTTCATACTCGATTTGGTTGAATTCCACTACTAATGCTTTCTCATCAGGACGTCTGGGATTATTTAGTTGTTTCAATTAGCACTTTAACATTTCAGTGGTTCTATAAAATAAAAATTAGTTTTTAGTCATGATCGAATTGATGAAAGTGCTATAGATAACGTTGAATGTCAATGGTACTAAAAGAACAACGTTAACTTTGTAAAATTCATCGTTTGAAAATTATCAGTTTTGAATATCCCAGAGAAAACACAAACCTACAAAGTTTATAATCTTAGAAATTTCTCATAACTGTATTTCTGTTTGTGTTATAGAAAGATGAATTAATAAGTGATTATTTATATCAATATAAACTTGGACGGTTGATTTGCCTGTAACCGAAAACTTTCAAAGAACAGTTACTAAAAATAGTAAGCCTGTTATCAACTGATAAAAAATAAATTAATCCATAATATGTTCTCGAGCGGGACCGATAGGTCATGGGTTCAAATTCTGTGAGGTGGGATCGTGGATGCACACTGCTGAGGAGTCCCACAATAGGACGAAACAGCTATCCAGTGCTTCCAGGTTTTCCATGGTGATCTAGCTTCATTTGACTCATGATCTCAACTAATAAAATTACTACAATATCCACAAAAACCTCTTCTGATATTATGTATTTATTGAAAATGAATATGTTTGCTTTGATTGTCAGTAAGAAGAATAGTTATTAGCTACGATACGATAGTGAAGTAATTAAACCTAATAGCTGAACATTTATTCTGTAGGAAAGTGAGTAACCTGTAGTTACCATACCCGCCAATCATTACCTGTTAAACAACTTATCACTTTTATTCTTGTGTTCATTATTTTGTATATAGATGCCGTGGGTGTGGATTTCCCCCAAATGCCTTGCTACGGCCGAGAGTGGGCCACGCGTATATAGCCTCTGCCAGGGAAGTCCTACTCACTGCCCTCTTGTGGCATTACTGTTGTTTACGAAATTGAGAGGACGAAAAGCGAGTGTCCGGAGCTTTAAACAGTTTGATGGAAACGGAGAGTCCACCTAGGGGAGTTGGAAAACCCCGATTCAAAACCATTGGTGCATATGGCCTTCAGTATCCTGAATGGACAAATGGCGTATGAACCAATTATTGGTCACCGACTACCATGAGACTGCATCTCCTTACGCTGCTCCACTGCTCTATGGATCAGACCTTTAGGTCGAAGGCTCGAGCTGCGGCCCCCTAAGTAAACCACCTGCCTCGGTTTGGGCACCCAGGCAGTATCCCAGCCCTCACATAAATCAAATAACTTGTGTGGCGCATATGTATTTGGTCCCTCCTTGTACCAACATCTGTGTTAGAATAAATAAATAAACAATAAATCATTATTTTATATGCAGATGCATTATAAAAGATGGTGGTTGGAGATAGTCAACAGGAAACTTGGTTGATAGGATTTGATCTGCACTAAGAAGGACCTAACATACATGACAGTGATCACCACCCACTGATCGACCAATTGTAGATGAATTATATAGTTAGGAGAAAAACTTTTCTACCGGCCGACTGTCTTATCGTCTGTTATTGATCACATTAACAGTTTTCACTCAGCCATATAGTATAATTGCATATTAACAATCAATAAGATCATTTCATTTATTAATTTAACAATATACATACATCTTTTGACTATAAACCTGTTAGTTCCCGATAAACATAATGAATGGTAACTTTGGGATCCTTTTATGGACCAATAATAAAGGTATATGTTTATCGTATAATTGTCAAATAACTAAACTATTCATATTCATGTTCCTCTTATTATAAGCTTTATTTTGACTTATGAACCATTATTAAACGATTTACCATTCTTGAATTATGCCCTGTCTATTAGTCACTGCCTCCGACATTCACAGCTACATTTGTCCATATTTTGTACAAATGTTATTTTCTATTTTATGCTACGTTGTGGTCTGTTTGATTGGTATATAAACTTAGTATGTTTGAATATAACGATTCATATTGCAGAGGCTGAGATTGGCGTTCTGGACTTAACTAGCTGGGCTAGGCGGGAAGCAGGACCAATCAGGACTCTAGGCTGCTCGCGCGTGTTTTACGCGTCCTCGGTCCGATCGGTAATTCCCTGCATTTGATTGGCGGCTTTGGGTATAATAAAACCATAAACTATTAATTCACAACAATGACAATGTGGATAAAAGTTGATTGTTAGAATATCCATCGTATTGAATCAGATTAGCTTACTACTTTAATAATTCAATCTTGTCGAGTTGAAACAATTTGATCACTCCTAATTATTACATAATGCCTATTAGTTAATAATGAACTTGATTCATATTTGAAAATAGAGAAGTTTTCCATAATCAATTAAAAATAATCAAACTTACTGCACATATTGTTTCATTATTGTCTTGATTACTTTTTAAGTTACAACTGTTCGGATTCGATCTAAAGGTACCGTCTAAAATTAATTATCATAAGTAGTTAAGAAAAAAATGTGGTAAGTAGACTTTAGTAAACAATATTTAAATTATTGGTTAGAATAAATAATGTAAGTTATGTAGTTTAGGTGTTTACTTAAAACAATTGAGTTCAATTAGATTTCGTAAATATCTCTCTGTCCTACAGGAGGTCATTCATAGTTCGGATAGTTAGACAGTAACGTTTCAAACAATAAAACAGGGTTAAGCTGGTTTGAATCTAAGTAAAACATTAGTTACCATGGCTTCATGGGTATTAGTTGCTGACGTGTGCCAACTAGTACAAAACTTACGTCAAGAATGAGGTCCTATCAGCTACATCCAACACCATAACATCTTAATTTAAGTTGTAGTGGCTGGCTCTATATCGAGCCTACATAGTTTATTCTAGCTTCCGGATAGGCCAATCGAGTCACATTTTGACCTTGTTAATTATTCGCTAATCAACCTTGACTGTTTTTATGTAAGCGCATATGTATGCATTTTTTATCCTATTCATCACATGTGTCTAACTTTCAATTGAATTTCATTGAAATCATGAACCCACCAATGTTAGACCACTATCAAAAACTTGAAACAACTGGACGGTGTTTCATTCTCGTATGGGACTCCTCAAAAGTACGCATCCACGATTGAATACCCAGAATACTAATTTAAGCATTTCAGTCTCACGAGAACGCTTAAAGACGATATAGATGTTCACTTTCATCAGTGTTATAAAGTATTTCTCAAGTTATCGTATCGGACTTAATTCGGTTTTAACAAATTTTATTAACTACAAAATGTTATCTAGTAATCATTCTTATTTATCTTTTTCAAATAATTTTACTTGTGAAAATCCGTGTTCTCATCAATTATTCAATATCAAGGGATTTACGTACAAGTTAATACATGATTTTATAATTATAACCTAATGTTAAATTCTATCAGTAAATAGTTGTTTTTTCTTAAAAGTGTAAGGATGGTAAAGATGGATAGTGGCTAGCAATGAAAGTTAGGATGCGCGTTTCATCCTATTTCGGACTCTTCAGCTTGATGTACCTGCATCTCAGAGTTGATGTTCACTCTGGGACTTGGACCCAGTACCGTTCACCTCAAATATCATCACGTTATCCTATTGCACAAGCAAGTGGCTATGAAAACTCAGTAGCTAAACGGATAACTCAACGGCGTTCAAAGCGAACAGTACTGGGTTCGAGTCAATCCCGGAGTGAACATCAATTGTGGGATGCATGTACATCTAGATGAAGAGTTCCAAATAAGACGAAACGCATGTCAAACTGGATTTCACTGTTACCCACTATTCATCTTTGTTTATAATGCTTGTAACTTAAGTCAATCTGTAAAACTAACTGTTTATAAGTTTGTGTCAAATTTTTTATTTTCTTTCAATTACAATAACAATTACTTTTATGTATAAACAAACTGTTTGTTTTATTTACGATTTGAAAGTTACCAAGTAATAAATATATGAGTTATGAAAAGAAAGAACTTGGCTATTTGTTTCTTCTTTCTCCCCCCCCTCTTTTTTAAAAGATTTATTTATTAGATATATGCTTGTGTTTATTGATGATTTATTTACTTTCTATGATATAAACAAATCATTGTTGATATCAATGTAAACAAAACAATGAAATGATCCATATGTATGATCTAATAATTCAATGGATATGTTTATCATTAGTTTTGTCAATGGTTATCTTACTTTGAATGATGTACTTACATGCAGAGCTGATTTGTAAACATAAAGAAGTTATGGAAGGATATTACGACAGTCTTTATGATATTTACTGTCAACCATTTACTAGAAGTTAATGTCTATCTTTTTTTTAAAAATCATAAGTTAGGCTTGTTCCAGTAGGTTTAAAAAAATTCAAATGTAGCTAGTACAATAGAATACCAGGAGTCATTGTAGAATGAATAAAAGATCTCGAAGGATTGTTACGTAAGCACAATTCCTTGTTAAGAGTTAACCCAAGAATGACCATTGAAGTTAAGTTTGACAAAGGGCATAAAGTTAACTATGCTTCGGCATTTTTATTACGTTTGCTAAGGAGATCAAAGATCACTTGTTATTTTGTTGTTGATAATGCTAAATATTTACCAGTAATCTAAAAGGCATTTGATTTTCTTTCTACTTCATTCTTTTGGATGACGTTTGGTCTTTTGTAATTAGATATCACTACTTTTAGTACGCTAACTTTCTGTGTGACTAATTTGAAGTTGTCCTACATAAATTTTATGCTTTTCTTACATTTTATTTTCTTCTTATGTTGGCGATTAATCGTTGAAATGTCGTATGTCAACTGTAGTTAGAGAGTCCCCAATAGAACTATGCGTATAGGAATAGATTAGTATCTTTTTAATACGCAAGTATTTTAGGCCAACCGGAAACCATAACAGCATATAGTATTATCAAAACATAATAATTCTTTAAGCCCATACTTAGGTATTCGGAAATAAAATCACCCAAATTTGTTATTCATTTCATACTACTGACCAAATCAGTTTCATCAACTGATTTACTATAGTCATAAAGTTATCTTTTGGCTATTAGTCAAACGTCATGGATTCAGAATTCTGAATTGTTGATACCACTTGTTAATATACGCTATAAACCTTCTTCGATAAATTTATGCTCATTTCGTTTGGTTGTAAACACATGAATAGTGATATTTGATTTTGTAAACTTATACGAACAATGAAAATAGAAAGTGATCTTCTATCATGTTATCAGATTGATATATACATACCTTACACGTCAATAATTTTAACAAGTGTAATTTTACTACTAAAAACCTATCTGTTAGTAGATAATAAATAAAGTTATATCAAGATTAGATGGTGGTTGGAGGTAGTCGACAGGAAACCCTGGACCCGGGTTTCGTGCTACTTGGCACTTGTCAGCAAGGTGTACCTGTAATCTAAACTGGTGGCCACATTGCAACATGATCGATACCATTCGATCTGCACTAATAATAAGGACTAGACACGCATGACATTGATCGCCACACAGTGATCAATCAATTGTGAAAGTTATATCAAATTGAACTCACCTTTCAAATAGGATTTAGAAGTAGGCACTGATAATAAAAGTGTTTTCCGCCTAGTCAAATAAATCAATACCATTATAGCGATCAATAAAATGATAAATACGATTATTAAGCAAACTACTGCAACTTCACTGATGACAAAACTGTTAGATTGATTATTTCCATGATTATTATTATTATTATTAGTTATATAGTTTTCATCATTTCCATTTAGATATTGTTGCATTATACCTGGATGTTTTCTGAATTTTGAATCAGATAACTGTTGATAACTTGAAGAGTATTGATTTCTAACATTTTTATCATACGGTTGATGATCTAGTGAAGATTTTATATCCCAAATATTTTTAAATTGAGTAAATGTTGGTGGATAACGTTTATTATTACTAACTGGATTTTCTTGTCCATGAAAATCACCATTAGTTTTTCTATTTAAATCAATATTATTATTGTTATTATCATGATTGTTAATATGTGATTTAGAATTAACATGTCCAGGTAACATTGCTGTATTAGCCTGTTTCATGTAACCAATGAATTGTTGATCTACTGAAGAAGATGGATCATTTGATTTTTTATGGTTAGTAACTAAAGATGGATCTAAGTAATTTGTTAAATGTGGTAATCTAACAAGATGTGGAAATTCATTTGGATCAATTACTAACTGTACCCAAATAGGTGAAGCACAACGTTTCGGTAAACCGTGATCACAAGCTTCGAAACGTAGAACATACGTGATAGGATTTATAGGATTTTGATTCAGATTTGTATTTTGTGATAATGGTTGTATAAAATGGTCAGATTTTGAATAAAGATTAGGTGATAAGGACAGAATCCCAGTATCTGAATTCAAAACAAACAAACTATCTGTATTTCCAGCTCCAATTTCATAAGTAATTTTAGCATTTTCATCAATATCAGCATCAGTGGCTTCAATTTGTAGCAATGGTCTAGATTCGGTTAAACTGGAAGCTTCACCTAAAGAAATAATGGGGTTAGATTACTGACTAAGGTGTTTAATGAACAGAATGATGTACATAGTTTTCATCACAAACTAATAGAAATTCACAACCTGTTGAAACTAACCTTCAGTATCATTCAGCGTTAAAACGTTGAAATTGCCGTTGATTATTTCAGTAAATAATTCATCACGAACTGATCTCAGTTTGATAAACTTTTACAACCAGAAAACACTAGATATCTGTTTCGGCGTAGCATGGAACTCTACAGAAGTGTACCAATTCAACTCCATCGGGGACCAAAGTCGTATGCAATGCAGTTACCCACCAAAGATATCAGGAGATGGTTGTGTAATATAGTAAAGTTGATTGAACATAAAAACGCAGGCCTTCAGAAGTTAGTTCAGCAATCTAAAGGCCAAACGCTCTCTGTAGCGACTGAAAGTCATGTTTTCGATCTCAGATAGGGTCGTAGATGCCTAACACTGAGGAGTACCATGTAGGACGAAACAGTTATCCAGTGCTTCTTGATTCTCAACGACTATCTAATCTAGATTAGTTGATTATAGATATCTATGAAGTTCAACAATCTCCACAAATACCAGTATATTCAGTTCAAAATGAATAATAGTTCACTTTAAGCAACTAATTCAAGGATATTTATTTCCTCAATATACATTTTTCAACTTTTGTTTAATCTTATTAAATGGTGGTCTAACATCAGTCGACTCATGATCTCAATCAAAACCTTAACAATCTCTACAACCCCATACAGATAATTACCATGTACTCACTAGTGACCAGCTTCGTGAGGGAATCCTAGGAGTTCTGGAGAGAAGCCCTGACCAATGGAGCTAATCCTTGTCTGTTGTGAGACAGTTATTGACTGAAGACAATGATGGACGGTCGCATAATATCGTGGACTGGTAAAAGTTAGACATTACCATGGTTGGATATGGGCTCAGTGGTCTACAGGTTATTCGTTCGCACGCTAGATCCAAGACGTCCAATGCTTCTAGGTTCTCAATGGTGGTCTAACATTGGTCCATTCATCATATCAATCTAAACTGAACAATCTCCACAACCTTATTCTGATAAAATAATATTATCAATAACCATACGTATCACATATTAGCCATTGGATATTTGTTTAATAGTCTAAAAGCTTAAATGCTTTTCGAGAGATCTGATGTTTTTAAATTCAATCCACAATCTGATTATGGATACAAGAAGTTGAATAACTCTTTAGTAGAATGAAACAGTTTTCAATTTCTTGTTAGATTTAAATGATTTTTTTGAGTAAGATCAGTTTGTTATGTAAATTGTAAAATATCTGTATTGCAAAATTACATTGGTATGATATGGATTTAACCAGTATAACTCGTCAAGTACTTAAAAAAAAACTAAGGAAACGTAACATTAGTTACTATCTAAATGAGATGGAAAAATATCCTTACTTAACTACTTTCATTATTAAAATGCATTTTAATTACCTTCACCATTAATGAAATCATTAGTTTTTTCTCTTCTATGAACTAATACAACTGGTATATTTGATTTATCATTATGATTGAATTGTATAGTTTGTTGTATTAGATTATTGTCATCGTTATTATTGGCACCTTGATTCATTTGTTTCAATGGATTATTGTCATTGTTATTATGATCATTATGGGAGGCGGGCCAATTAACTTTAAATGATCATTTTGTTTTGCTTGTAATTCATTTTCTTTTTTATCATTAATTAGTGAATTGATAGAATATGGTTTATGAATATTGTTTGTAAGTTCATTATTGATTGAGTTTAACGTTGATTTTGATTTAGATGATAATGTTGTAGTAGAAATAGCAGGTCTAATAAAAACAGGATCATTGTCATTCTCATCCTTATGGAAATTTCATTTTAGAAAGGAAAAGAAAAAAATGAAAAGGGGAAAAAATTTCAAATAATAAATCAATAATTACAGTACATCAGTATATGGAACAAAAGATCATTCCATTAATTATCAATCATACTGCAATAATGTAATTGACCTCGTTATACATCATAATAATGAAAAGAGCTTAACTCCCTAACGTAGTGTCAGTTTCGTTCAAGATTAGAAGCAACTGTTTCTTCAGTGCACAAATTATTACTAAGCAAAATACCTATGGTCGCTTAAGATTTATCGGTGAATTATCTCAACAATCCTTCACCAGGTACTATGATATTTATCGTCAGTATTATTTATTCGTGATCCAGATTGTTACTATTTACGGGATCCAATTCAGAAGCATACGTTCCCTATACTCTTGCCCAATCAGTTTTTTAAGTGAAAAGACCGAGAAGCAACTAGGAATTTGTCATTGATAAGGTATATAACTAAGATAATAAGTCATTGGCGTACATACAATTGTTCCTCTGTTTCAGAAGGGATATGTAAGCCAAAATTTCCCTATATTTTAATTTTTCCTCCAGCGTTTTGGAATTTAGATAACTTCAGACACATAAAATCAGTAGAAATCGCACTAATATGTAAATCATTCACCCATTAAATGAACTGAAAAATGCCGAAAATGCTGGATAATGTGTACTTATCGGACATTGTAAAACGGATGGATAATCTCACACCTTATATAGACATGGTTATAGGAGATTTTCTAATATGAATAAAAAATGAAATAAGTGTTTATAAACTGGCGATAAATTTGAACTAAAACTTAATCAACTAAAACAAGTAGTATGTAGCAGGAATTGGAAGTTGAATGCTTATCAGCAGTAGGTTGAAATAAAGAGAACAGAAAAGGAAATTGAGAACACTAGGAATAACAACGGAATTAGAAGAATGATGGATAACTGAAGTAAGATCTATGAATAATATATCTAATGTATAACTTTTGTATTTTACAAAGGCACTGAATTTAACTTTGCACAAAAAATGTCTTCGTTGACCACACCACTAATATTAATGCTACCATCATTCGCATACATACAATAAAATAATTATCCACTGATGTCATAAATATCTCAGTTCATTTTGAAGGAAAACTAAACCATAATAAACACTAACATCCATCTTTTCAATTGATAAATACATGACTGCACAGCCTACATTTCGTCACTTCCCTATTTTTTTTTAACCGTTTCCCTCTCAATCCATAAGCATACCCCCATACTGTTGAACTAATCAATGAGACGTATATATAGACTGTAATTACAACGTTTTAGTAATGTATTTAATAATTACTTCATAAGGCAAGGTACACACAAGATAAACAAAATTTACAGAATCTTTGGTAAATTATTATTTAATGCCTTGTTAAGGGGGAGGAAATCTCTTTAGATAAGTAAAATATCTGTGTTATTAAACATAACTAAGAATTTATGTTTTATTAATTGCTGTAAAAGCCTCATTTAAGCAATTTTTACATACGTATCTATTAAAGTACATTGGTGTTCGTCAGCAGTGGAATTCAAGATATATGTGTCTTTCAGTTCGGGACTCATCAGAAAAAACTGATCAAGTTCGTTCTTGAATATGAACAAGAGAATATAACGTACAAGATATTGAACTATGTATTTGTTCGTATATAGCTAACTCCACTTAAAGGTTTTCTAGGGTTACTGCCGGTTCCGAGCCCATATAGAGGAGGAGGGTTGGGTGTGGGGTTATCAACCCTATCTCGTAAAGAAGAACCTTGCCGAAAAAACGAAAATCTTCATAATCTAAGATTCATTAGACGAGATATAGCTTGACTTTGATTTTCAACCGTAGTGTATAAACTAGACACTCATACACCATGAGTTAATATAATGTTGGAAAACACTAAGTTTTCTCCAAAGGTACCATAAAAGATTGATTAAAATCCTTATACCTAGTAATTCATTTGTAAGCTGTGATTATTTAATTGACTGATGAGGTAACGAAATTTTTTATTATCGGTCTGTGGAATGACTGAGACGGTGGGACTATAACTTATGGATGACTTTTGAGCGACGCCTTAGTGACCATGAGAATGTTCACCTACTTACGAGGGCTGATTGAGGGTCATAAAACAGTTTGAAGAATAAGAATTATGATTTATTAACAAGTCCTATAAATTTGTGTCAAATAAGTTTGATTTTCCCCACTCGTGTTCTGTTCACTACATTATTACTGAACATATGAAGATAGTATCATCCTGTCTCAAATCACCAATCATTAGCTATTTACATAGTTCAAATTCATAAGAAAAAAGAAAGATAATAAGCCATCAGTACACAAACTTTTTAATAATAAGTTTTTATGGAACCTATATTGAGCTAATATCTAAGGTATACAATTAATTTCGGTTAACGATGTATGAAAAAGTATCAATCTCTAAGAGTAGTGGGTCATAGGTATTGCTTATAATGTTGATGTGTGAAGATGGATAATGACTAGTAGTGGAATCCAGTTTGACGCACGTTTCGTCCTATTTGGGACTTGTCAGTTAGATGTACCTGCATCGCAGAGTTGATGTTCACTTCGAGACTCGAACCCAGTACCGTTTACTTCAAATTAAGACAATACCGAGGCAATACGCACAGTATGCACATATGCCAGTAAGAGATTGATCAATTGCAGTCCTAAACATCCATGGGAAGATTCAAGTGAAACAAAACCAAGTGAATTGATGTTTCTATGTCCCTAAATTATTGATACTGAAATGTATGAGGATCGATATCAACGTCATAGGAAACTTTAGTAGGTATAACATTGTCAATTTACCAGACTATATTTACACAATCATATAAGAGAATATGTTACGGATAAGGTCTTGATAAGGAAAACCATACATTAAATACATTAGTTGCACATCTTCCATCAGTTGTCTTTTATTAACTTCATCGATCCTTCATTCCTATTGTCATTAAAAATTACTCACTGTTTTCAATTCTCTTGTCAATCTACTTTTGATAACCTTTCCAATTCCGATTGTTCGTGCATACTACTTATATTTGTCAACATAAGTAGTATATATCACATATCAGAGATTTTCTCAATTTTTTGTTTAAAAAGAATTGGCATCAATTATTCAATCAAAAAGGCAAATAATAATTACGATAGATATTTACTAGAATTTATGAGAATCTTTTAGAAAAAATCTTTTCACAGATGTTCCATAGTTTATCCATGAATGATGTCATGCATTTTGTATTCATTTATCAATTTTATTTTTTTAGATTTGGCGGTTTATTTGAAATTTTGCGTTACATGTTTTATTTAAATAAATAAATATATTTAGTCTGTTTTAAATTTTTTTTATATTATCAACTACATCTGTTCAGTAAACATGATTCACTTTCATGTTGGATGTACATTTACATTTGTTTGTTTGTTTTTAATAGTTAGTTTATAAATGAATCATATCTGTATTGTTATATTTCAAATGAATTATATCTTATAATTGACGTATAATGATGCTGTTGTTGTTTGTCATTTTTTGTGAGATTGACGGGTTAATTATAAAGCTTTGATTATCAGTTTAGACAAAAGCGCTCGTGCGCGAGACTGATACGTCCTGGGTTCGAATCCTGCGAGGCAGGGTCGTGGATGCGCACTGATGAGGAGTGCCACAATAGGACAAAACGACTATCCAGTGCTTCCAGGTTTTTTATGGTGGCATAGTTTCAATTGACTCATGATTTCAATCAAAAACTTAACAATCTCCAAAAACCCTAAACTGATGATCATTTAAAGTTTCTATAATTACAAGACGTTCATAAAACATCAAATGTTTAACCATAATGCATTTCATACCAATATGAGAGAATATGGTAATTCTGCCATACTGAATAAATTAAAGTTTAGTTGATGTATCTACAACAACAAGGAAGCAACAAAAATAAATCATTCCAATGAAGTGAAAGCGAGGATACATAGATTTATTTAACAAACAAATGAAGAACACTTGGCTAGACAAATATATACATAACTACATAAGAGTGCAAATAGAATATGTTTAGTTAAGTTCAGTTTTACAACTGTACATTCATACACAAGTATACATTGTATTCACACTAGCTCATCGTTTCTGAATGGTCAGATATGTGAATCTTTCATCCAGATGATTTTTGTCATACTTAAAAGTATTTATTATGTCATTAGGGTTCAGTAACTGTAATATAACACTATTCAAGATAATGTATTTTGACCGACTTATCAGAATCCATCGTAAATTATTTATTTTAAGTAAACGTACTGAAACCCATAGTTGGAATACGTCGGTTCAAAAATCGATAATTTCTTTATTCGATGATTTAATGATGTCACTCTTTATCCATGCAAGACATATTAATGATAACTAAAGGTATATACTTTCTTACAGATTATCGCTTTATCTGAGTTAGTCAGCCTATTTAAGTATACGTGCTATTCGATCTGAAACAGATACACACATAGTACACTTTTATATGTCTGTCTAATTATTTATTTTATTTATTTGAATACATAAATATTGGTACAAAGGGGTAGTGAATACATATGCGCCACACAAGTCACTTGATTTATATGTAAACTGTGATACTTCCCGGGTACCCAAACTGAAGCAGGTGGTTTTCTTAGGAAGTTACATCCCAAGCCTTCGACATAAAGGTCTGATCCATAAGACAGTGGAGCGATGTCAGGAGATTCAGTCTCACGATAGCCGGTGACCAATGATTGGTTCATCGTCCATTTGTTCCTTCAGGATTCTGGATCTCATGTACACTATTGGTTTTGAATAAGGGTTTTCCAACTACTCTAGGTGGACTCTCCGTTTCCACCAACCCGGTTAAAGTGCCGAACATTTGCTTTTCGTTCTCTCAATTTCATAAACAACAGTAATGCCGTGAGAATGCAGTGAGCAGGACTTCTGTGGCAGTGACTGTATACGCGTGACCATGTGAGAGCATTTGGAGAGTGAGAGCTGACTTTCCACACCCTTGGTCGTACTAAAATAATTTCGGATAGATTTGATCAAAATAGTCTCATGAAATAACATTTCTGTGTAAAAGAACTAGTTGATAGATTTGTCATAGCGACTGCTTATTTGTTGATTAGTGATTAGCCAGTTGACTGCATAACTTAATACGTTTGTATAATATTCAAAATTACAGATTATCTGTCTTTTGATATTTATTATTGAACAACATAATTTTACCAAAATAACAGAGATCGCGATAACTATTTATGTGAAATATAAAGTCGTTTAGTTATGCAACCAATGATCAAGAATATGAAATGACCATAACAAGTACAAAACAGTCAACAAGTGGAATCAAAACAGGATTTTAATAGAATGATGTTTGGGCACAACATGATCTCCCATATTTAATCTAGTTAGTTATATTTGTGTTTGTCTCTCATTCAGTTATGGACTATTTTCACTAGATACATTGTAAAAGAAATAGGTTTCTATGCAATGCACTTCTATTTAAAGTAATCACTAGTAATATTGTCAGAAGGGGTTTTGTGCAGATTGTATTAATTTCAATAGTTCAGACCATGAGTCAATTGAAACTATACCACCATAAAAAACCTGAAAGCACTGGATAGTCGTTTCGTCCTATTGTGGCACTCCTCATCAGTGCGCATCCACGACCCTGCCTCGCAGGATTCGAACCCAGGACGTATCAGTCTCGCGCACGAGCGCTTTTGTCTAAACTGATAATCAAAGCTTCATAATTGGGCCGTCAAACAGTGAACAGTACTGGGTTCGAGCCCCGGAGAGAACGTCAACTCTAGGATGCAGGTGCATCCAGCTGACGAGTCTGAAATAAGATGGAACGCGTATCTTAGATTCCACTGCTAGCCACTATTCATTTTTGCTTAAAAAGCTTATGACTTAAGGCTATATCGAGGCAATCCTCACACGATACACATATGTCAACATGAGACTGATCAATTACAGTCCTAAATAACAATGAGAAGATGCAAGTAAAACAATACCAAATGAATTTCATACATAGACTATTGAGAATATTATCGATTTAATTCAGCTGTAATACACAATAAAAAAAATGATAATTGAAGATAATGAAACAAACAGTTCATTAGACCTTTTATTGTTCTTCTTTTCGTTTTCGTTTTTCTTTTTTTCTTTCTTTTCAATCATTTTATAGTTAATAGAAATAAATAAGATTAAACTGTTAATTATTATTGTAATACTATTAGTATAATTAGTGTTATTCTATTTAGTGGATATAAATTCTATATATAGTAATAATGATTTTCTTTTAGTATCTATCTTAGTAACCTACTTATAATAATCACTTAATTCTAAGATGGTATAAAGATACAAATTTCATCTTTCGCAATAATATATCATGTTAACAATAGTCTATTTAATTCCGTCAGACTGAGAATCCTGTATATGGCTGAAGTAATTGTTATGCGGTTCAGAAAGCCAGAGTTTTACATCCAAAAGAAATATGTTCAGCCTTTCCTTTTACTATGGCCAACTAGTTAATATCAGAATGGGTTTTATGGAGATTTTTAGAAATTTCACTGATTGAAATCATGAGTCAATTGAAGCTAGACCACCATGGAAAACCTGGAAGCACTGGACGGCCGTTTCGTTCCAGCATGGGACTCCTCAGCAGCGCGCATCCACGATCCCGCACCCCGCGAGATTCGAACCCAGGACGTATCAATCTCGCGCCAGGAGCTTAAAGGATCATGTTTAACTCAATATTAAGTATCAGTTCATGACTTGATATGTGTAATCAAGATCTAACCAAGCTTATATGAGTAAACAGTATGTACTTTCAAGCCGAATAAAAATATTTCAATTCACATCTATGAGTCAAATAAAACTATCACAAACATTTATATATGCAACCATAACCTTGACAATTGATTTTTAGATTAAATTATTATGTCGTTATGCAATCGCAATTGTATGTTTTTATTTTACTCATCAGTCATTGTTTTGTCATTCACAATTTAAAAATTATCATAAATTTAATATTAATATGTTAACTATTTTTATCAAAAATCCACTTTATGTAGAGTAAACATCAACTTTGCGATGCAGGTACATTCAATCGACGAGTCGCAAATAGGACGAAACGCGCGTCAAACCGGATTTCATTGCTAGTCACTATCCATCTTTGCTTAAAAAGCTTTTGACTTAGGGTTATATCGAGGCAATCTGCACAGAATGAACAAATGCCAATAAGAGACTGATCAGCTGCAGTCCTAAATAACAATAGGAAGATACATGTAAAACAACACCAAGTAAATTCCACTTTATGTGATTTATTATTTTTCACATGTTGTTTATATATATGACAAATATAATCATTGGTTTAGACTTTCGCAATTCTAATCGACAGATTCCGAATGTTAGATTCTTACAAGAGGCCAACAACCATTGAGGAAACAATCAGTGAAATTCTTATTTCATATAATTTATATTACATATAGGGTTTAATTAAAGTGGAAACAACTGAATAACCTAACACTTATCACAACAGTACAAATTTACCTTACTAAGGATCTAACCCAGCACAAACAATTCTAGGTAGGAAATACAACAGTCCAGACGTTCCGTGTCACTAACCTCATATATTTTATTCTATTTAAAATGCCATTCTGCAGCAATTCGAAAGACTATCCCGGTCTCTCAAACTGTACGAGCATTCCACGTGCCAAAATGAATGGTTCTTCTGGTTGTCAGAAGGAGCATCATCCTCGTAGCTTCCGAAGGAACTCGGCTTTCACCATGCGGTGTCATAACTCTTCTAAATGAAGACCTTCTGACTCCCAGAGCAGAGTTTAATTGGTTTGAATAATTTTTTTCTAATTAGCGTTTTTTTAGCGAGTTAGCTTTCTACAGGATGGGGTTGCTAACCGCATGCCCAACCCTCTTCTCTTATCAGGCTTAGGGCTGGCGGTAGCCCCAGAGCGGCTCCAGGCGGAGCTCTATTTAAAATACACCTTACTTTTCTTAATCACAACCTCTGTGCAAAATATTAGATACTTGAGTATGAAACGATTAATTATTATGATATATATTTTCATTCATCTAAAAAATAGATCTGTCTGAATACATTAATATAATAAATTCATTCATATTACTTACGTCTACAATTACAGTTACTGTAGCTGTTGATGTTTGTGATGTTACAGTAGATGGATTACCATCATAAGCAATGACATTAAATATATAAATATTTTGTTTTTCACGATCTAATGTCATTGATGTTCTTAAATAACCATTTGTAGCATGTAAATTAAATGTTCGACGTATTATTAATGGTGAATCATTTGATATTCTTAATGTAATATATGATAAAGATGATGAAATGAATGGTGTTTTAGATGGAGGAGATACCTTGTTTATATTATGATTATTATTATTATTATTATTATTATTATTATTATTATTATTATTATTATATGTCATTGCTTTACTTTCAATATCTAAATCAATTGCCATAATTCGTCCAACTAACCAATAAGCTGGTTTATTCTCTTTTATATGAAATACATAATTATTAACAAAATGTAATTCATTTTGATAATGATTATCATAATAAAATTTTCATTTTTAAATAAATTATTAAAATATTGTTGTTTATTTTTCATACTACTTATATTATCCTTATTATTAGTAGTAGTATCTGTATTATTAATATTAGATTGATTTGTTAATATAAATAATGGTGGCCAATCATTAACATCTGTAATTTTGATTTCAACTATAGCTGTTCCACTATGTCGAATTGATGTTAATTGATTTGGTTGATCTAAAGCGAATACATTAAAACGAAACATGTCGACATTTTCACCATCAAATTTTTTCAATGCATATAATATACCAGTATGTGAATCAATACGGAATAATTGATCAACTCTGACTAGTTCATGACTATGTTCATTATTATTATCATTATCATTATTGTTATTATTATTGTTTTCATTATGATAAATAAATAAGTTCTTATCTTCTACTCTAGTTTGTTTATTAATCAATAAATAAGCTGAAGGTAAACTGAACTAACTGATGATCGTATTTCTAGAAAGTACTCATCTAGATAATATTCAACACGTGCATTTTCACCTTGATCATTATCTTCTGCTAGTACACGACCTATTCGATATTCATAACGATCATCCATTCCTTCAGATTTATATTCTTTCCGTTCATCTACAATTTCTTTTATTAATGATGTTTGATTTGTTAAATAAGTATTACTTGTTTTATTCAATCGATAATATCCTAATGGTTTCAATTGTTTATCACTATTCTCTGGTAGATCAAATCGATATATTGATTTTTGAAATCTTGGCTGTTCATCATTCATGTCTAATACACGTAAGCGAATAATTTGTTCATTAAAATTAGACGCTTGATCAATACATTTTATACGTACATAATATAAAGGATTTTTTTCACGATCTGGTTTAGTAATTAAATTTAAAATATAATCATTTTTTGTAGCTGAAATTGATTGTGATGATGATTGTAAATCTAAATGATTATTGATTTCATGATAATTATCATTGTTTTGATGAAATTGATTCATTGAATTAATTGGTTTCAATGAAAAGTTCACATTGTCTGTTAAAATACAATTAACTTGATCATTTCCATCAAAATCTGGATCACGAACTTGTACATAGGCTAATTGAATAGGAGGTTGAACATTTCTTTGACAACTCCTAGAGTAATAAAAATAAAGTTGACTGACTAATTATTTGATCTACTTTATATAATTGAAATAATCTGATCCATTAATGTGTTAAGTAATATAAAACAATTGACTTTAACCTTCCATGATTGAATAATAATATATTTGCTATGAAATCAGTATCTGTTGTGATCCTGTCCACTTCAAACGAAAGAGGCTATTGTGTAAAATTTTGGGTTTAAATGTAATACTCCTCACCTTGTCCCGTTGATTTCAGTCTCAAGCAGTAAGACCTCTAAATTGAAAGCTAATATATTAAGAACTAATCAATAAAAGCCCGTATATAATCTGTCCCGTGTGCTTGAAGGTCACACCCTTAGGTTGTCAAAATCACTCCCAACCTGGTTTCTTTTCCAGGTACTTCAAGAAGTACCCTAGAATTGTTTGGGTAACTTAGATGTGACAACCTTCCTCATACCTGTAACATCATTCATGATCAATTTATTTACCAGCAAGTGTCTTATTTACATGAATATCAAATGAACGAGATATACACTACAGAAAAGTCTGAAACTTACAGCAAAAACTAATGAATTTACCCTGTTTTTTGAAGACAAATTAAAAATTAATACAAGGTAGTAATTTTTTCTTCGAATTTTATTTGATTAATACATAAATAAACGGATGCGCACTGTTGAAGAGTCCTGCAGTGGGACGAAATGGTCGTCTAGTGCTTTCAGGTTTTCCATTGTGATCTAGCTTCAGTCGGCTCATAATCTCAACGATTAAATGAAATTATTAATTATTGAAAAGAAAATGTGTTTTTTTACTGAATAATGTATAAATATAAATGTCCAAATTCTATGTGTACTGGTCTACAATAAGATATAGAGTTGATATTCATATATATATACCTATCTACTTGAAGTAAATCCAAATGTCATAGTCTAATCAAGATAATAATAGTTATCCCAATTCTATATCAGATTAAAACATGGAAATTTAATTTAAACACTTAATAGTAAACTATTGGAATTCAAATAACGATTGTAAATAGAAGACGATTAATATCGATTTGGATTACTTTTTTTCTTTTTATCTAAATCAGTGAAGTGTTTGTTTGATTTTTGTACTTGCTGAAAACTTTGAAAAATCATTGTGAAATGATTCTTACTTCTAAAGTGTATAAAGTTTCAGTCAGTCAGTCAGTCGGTAACAACGTAGAACTTCGTACATACTACATCAGTTCGAGTTGCCATACCATATTAGCATATAGATGTAAATGTCGATTCAAATCCCATTGTGGTATAGGTAGTAAGAGTATAAGCAGTAATCGAAAAGATTAGGCTTTGAAGATATTATTCAATGAGTATAATCTAGCGAAATAAATCTGGAAAGAGAAAAAAGGAAGGGACATGAAGAATTCAGAAGATTAGAATTGGCTAGAACACAAAGAGTGGATACACCTGCGCCAATGCAAAAGATTTGGAGCCATGTCATTAAAGGTCTCTAACCATCGGTTACTATCGTCGCGCGGATTCCAACCAGGTACTCTACATCTACCAAGATGGCTCGGTTTACTTATCAGTGACTTCATGAATTCGTGCCATGTTTTGGTCTGGTCGACCCTAGCTTTCTTTCAACCTATTCGTACACCATAAATTTTAGTTAGAAATAATGTATTTGAAGTGACTGATATATTTAACTATCCTAAAAGGTTCATACTATACTATACTAACAATATTTTTTTAGTTGCGATCAATGACACTCTCTTTGACTTAGATAACGGAGGATCAGTCAATGTTTATCTAATCACAAAAATAGGCATTAAATATAACCTTTGGTAATAAAGACTAGCGTTATTTGTAGTCTTAAACATAAACGAGTAAATAAGTTCTGTATAAACAGTTAACATCGTAGCAAAATTAGAAATATCATACAATGCAAATACTTTGTCTTTGAGCTTATTTTAAAGAAAATATAAGTGAAGAGAGATAAGATTCAATGAGAATTGGTTGTTAGCTTTGAATATAGTAAACGTTGTTTACATACTGAGCCAATTAACATTAGTATCATTGTATGAATTTAACAAAATAAAAAGATTTAGTGCAATGATATCCGATTCATCAGGTTGAGTGTTAGTTTGCACACCAATAAATCATTTGGCGTTAGAAACTAAATATCATTAGTGTGAACTGAGACAAAGTACAAAGCTACTGACCTCATATAAGATCTGACTGAAGATCCGAACAATGTGAATGTTCAATAGTTGACTTGGGATTTACTGATTTACAATTACAAACTTCTTTTATTCTAGCAAAATAGAACAGATATCATTGGATTACGTTGGAGAGCAAACGGTTCACTATTTGTTTTATTGAGTTACACATGTCATAGATTTTCACTAAAATCTAGAGTACCTGTCTTGCATTTCGTTATAGGTAAGCATCTATATATTAACTGATTTACTTCTTGTAAAAGGTGAAAATTCTAGACATGATCCTGTACACAAGACTGTGGATGAGCATTTTCAAGTCCAAAAAAAGAGTTCAATTACCAGTTAACTGAATAATTGTAATTAGGTATGTAAACAGTGAAATGTTATCACACTAGAGAAGGAAGCTTGAAAAACGTGAGAAATTACCACATCGTCTATAGTCTCTGTTCTGATTCATTTTAGTGTCATCAGTAATTTATGCGTTAGATGATTGGACGTAGTCTACAGAAAACTCAATACCTAGATTTTGTTCCAGTTAATGGTCGTCAACATGTCGCACCTAATCTGTTGAGAGAACAGTACTCCCTGATGGATTTTAACCCAGATTATCTAATTTCACAGTCTGAGGAGTTACCAATGAGATATTTCAGCCGTAACTGACCTCCTAAAGGACAAACAGTTATTTTGATTAAACAGTGAGTATTTGAAAACCTCAACCTGGTTCGAATCCACCATACAGTCTCATTTCGTTTACGATGCATGTACACTTTGAGGTCGGGTGCTAACTAGCAATACATGGTTTTCTGATGATTACCTTCAGCCATCCAGTATCAAAACAAACTCCATACATTGTTGAGTGAATTAGACTAGGACCATATTATATCTTAATCTATAGAATTCAGTCAGCAACAAATGACTAGACAAACAATACAATGGTCACTATTAAGTGACCAATTGATTATAACTTGTTTACAATATACTTATCTAAATCAATCAAACCTTATAATCAGTTAATGAGGTTCACAATTTATCAACTCCATTTTGTAGTTAAGTAATGAAAAGAATATTATAACTTAATTATACCATTTATCTACCTGTTTCACCATAACTTGTCATTTCTGATGTACCAAGAAATTTCACAGTTATAATTGGTGCTTCATCATTCTCATCAATTACAGGAATAATAACTACAGCAGTACTAGTAAGTTCATATGGTTGAGGTGCAGAATCGACAGCTTTCACTTGAAATATAAATTGTTTTTTATATTTTTGATTTGTATTAATATCTATATTATTATTATTATTATTATTATTTAATGGTGTTGTTTGTGTTGGTTTATTAAACAATAATGAATTTAATATAATTTGATTATCTATTGTACTTGTTTCCATAGTTTCATAATCTAACCAACGTTTTAATATAATTAAACCATTTGATTGTACATTAAAATAATTCATAGCTAATGTACCAGGAATCATTGTATAATGTATACGATTATTTATGAAAGATACATCTTGATCTGTTGCTGTTAAATTTATGATAATTGTACCAGGTAATGTTTTTTCAGTAATAAATTGATTTAATGGATAATATATTGATTGATTAAATATTGGTGAATGATCATTGATATCAATAATATTGATTTTAATTAATGCTGTACCAGTTCGTTTAGGTAAACCAGAATCTATAGCTAATAAATAAAATTCATAATTTTGTTTTAATTCATAATCTAAATTTATAGTTGGAATTAATTCTAATGGTCTATTAGGTATATCTTCTATAATAAATGGAATATCATCATCATTATGATTATTGGATTGATTAATATCATAATTATGTTTATAATCTAATGATTTCTTAATTGATTGAAGATGATATGTTAATTGACTGTTAATTCCTTCATCAGGATCATAAGCACGTGGTAAATTGATTCGTGATTGTTGATATCGTTGTTTTATACTTGATGAATGATCATCTATTCCATGCATTGTTTGTATATTATTTGGTGTCTCTGATATTTGTACAATGATATTTGGTATATCATTATGATTATTATTACTATCAGTAGTTTGTAGTAGTATAATTATAGTGATGATTATTATTATAATTGATTCCATTATTAATTGATAACCATATTGGATTATTATCATTTATATCGATAATCAATAAATTGATAGGTATTTTCTTGATATTGACTTCATTTAATTCTATTATTTGTATTGTTGATAAAATATTCAATGTTTTAATACATTTTTTATTTAAATTACTTGATATCCTATTCACAGGATTATTATTATTTTGTAAAGACATTGATGGACGATTATTCAATGGAAATTGTGAACTGCTGATATGACTACTACTAATACTACTACCAATCATAATGTTATTGTTGATACCATTGCCGTTTACACTACCACTACTACATATAGATTCACGGTCAATACGTTTTTGAATTGTTAATTTACCATTAATTGAATTTAAATGTAAAGCATTTGTTAAAGGATCATGTATATCGAGTAATTGGAAGTTAAATTGAAACTTATCATTATTTAAGAAATTATAATTATTGACATCTATTTTTATATTATTCATTGTAAGAAACTGTTGTAAACTAACTGAAATATATTGATGTAAATATTTAGATACACCAATAATCTCTGTACCATTTGGAGATTCTTCAATTAGATGGAATAAATTTAATTGATCTTGTTCTGTAGATGACGAAGACGACGACGACAAAGAAGAAGAAGAAGAAATAGGTGATGGTGGAAGGTGAAGTGAATGAGAAGAATCATATCCAGATGTAAGATACATTGTGGTATTCGTTTGATGCACAGCCGAAGCGGAAAAATTAACAACGTTATAAATATGAATAAAATTATAGAAAAATAGATTGAATAATAAGTAGGATGATTTTTTACAAATAAATGACATTGTTTCCTTTATTAGCTGATTAAACAACCATAAGATAGGTGATTTCTGAAAAGAAAAATAATAGAAATACATAACATATGTTATTGAAATTTATTAATTTTGACAAATGGATAAAATTAAATTCGACTTTCTTTATGTTAAAGGATAGAAATTCGATTTGGTAAGGTAAACAATGGCGAGACTATAATTTATGGACGAACCAATCAAATATAAGAAAACGAGTTACGAATTTGGGCGCGGAATTCATTCATAGATTTGGCTAAATAAAGTTTTGGCATTATAACTGATGTCAGTTCGTGATGAAAACCCTAAATCTAATTCCTAAACCTAATCATCAACTGTAAATGCGAATTCTAACTGCTTTATAACCCTCATTTAGTCCTAATTAAAAGTTGTTCACTCTCAAGGTCACTTCACCGTCGCTAAAAGGTCGTCCATAAATTATAGTCTCACCTAAACAATTTTAAGTGGACATTGACGATAGATTGTAAAAGACCCTAGCAAACCTAATAGTTGTAAATTTCTTCAAAGTGATGAAAAATGAAGTGGTTTATTTATTTATTTGAACAAATAGATATTGGTACAAAGAGTCACTGTATACATATGCGCCACATAAATCATTCGATTTGTGTGAGGACTGGGATACTTCACGGGTGTACAAACCAAAGCGGGTGATTTTCTTAGGGGGGTCACGTCCCGATCCTTCGACATAAAGGTCTGACCCATAAGAAAGTGGAGCAATGCAGTTCATGGTAGCCAGTGACCAACATATGGTTCATACGCCATTTGTTCCTTCAGGATCCTGGATCTCATGTACACTATTGGTTTTGAATAAGGGTTTTCCAACTACCCTGGGTGGACTCTCCGTTTCCACCAACCCGGTTAAAGTGCCGAACACTCACTGTTCATTCTCTCAATTTCATGAACAATAGTAATGCCGTGAGAATGCAGTGAGTAGGTCTTCCCTGTAAATGGTTATATGCACGTGGCCATGTGAGAGCATTTGGAGAGAGAGAGAGTTGACTCTCCTCACTCCCAGTCGTACCAGGGCATATAGGAGCATTAAAGTGGTTACTTTGGAAAATTTATGATAATCGAGGTAATAGTACAATGTGAGGTGGGATGAGTCAGCCGGGTTGCTAGGATCCACTTTTGAATGTTTTGTGCAAAATTCAAAAATGAATGACTTTTTTCTTGCACTATATAGATCGAGAACCAAAAAATATCTTTCTATAGCGTTAAGAATATTTGTAATTTTAACGAAAGATTAATTGTTGTCATCAATATAGTAAAAGTGAAAGTTTTACACATATCAACTATTCAATTCTTTCTACATATAAGTTGTATTACAATTTTCAACTTGAAAGATGGATATTCTATAGCTATACAGATCTTTATCAAGTTTGAATCATTGTCAACATTAATGAACTCGTTCAGATATCCAAAGTATAAATATAATGTCAATAATAAGAATTACTCTATCATTCTGAAGTAAATAAATACTAATTGTATCACCATATGTTTTTTTGAAAAGTAAAACCTTATTTTCAGATTTTCTCCTGAGAAAATTATGTTATTGTATAGAGATTTATCTCTACCTGGAGTCACTCTGAGGTTATTGCCAATCCCATGTCAGGATAAAGGAAGAGGGTTGAGCATGAGGTCAGTGACCTCATCCTATAGAAAACTAACTAGCTAAAAAATACACTGACCAAACATGTAGAGATTTAAAAATTTATTTAAAATTTATTTAAATGATAAAGTCAATATTTAACCACATGATAATAATTATAATGCTGAAACACACAGCAAAGCAACTCATCCTTGTAAGGAAAAAGAAGGAGAACAAAAGATTAATCTTTTAAGATTATGAAACAGGTGTTTAATAAGTTCTGTCTGCCATTAACCAAATGGTCATTTCATTAGATACAAACAAATGAATTATTTTAATTAATATGAATAGTTTATCATGGATATTTTGATATCATAGTTAGATAAAAGTAAGCAGTGAAATCTCGGAGGTTCATTCAATCTTATCTAGAGTTTATCATCTGGACATACGTGCATTGCAATGGTGATATGAAAGGATGTAGTTTGTTCTGTTGCTATTTATTATATAACGAAATGCCTTTTCTGAATTTCACTGAAAGTCATATATCAAATAGTTGATTCAAATAAAAAGTATGGAAGGTATCACTCACAAAGATTGTAAAGTTAGTGTCAGGTATTCAAGTATCAAGTCATTAAATGTTCTTTTGCTCAAAAGATTCTTCGAATCGAGAAAATATTTTTTACATCGTTAGATTTATTCATACAGTACTAGAACATGGAAATATTAGTTTTTCTTTTTAGGAATTTTGACCAACCAACAGTAGCCACCAGCTTAAACCTATACAACTAGATCCTAAAAGGTATGAATAGAAAGGCACAAAATGTTTTCTACTTGTTAGCCTTTTCTACATGGTAAACATTTCATTATTAAATTGGGCAATATGATTAGAAACGGCTATTCAAAAATATAGTACCATGAAGCAATATTCGTTTACATTTATTTCAGTAGTATGCAAGGCGTACTATAATTAACTGATTGATAAATGACTGTGATTCAGAGAACAAAAAGCCTAATCTAATTTGGGATAAAAATATTTTCATGGGAAAAACATTTTGATCATACTGAATCTACTTCCACTTCAATAAGTATTGATGTTATTACAAAGATCGAAATTTATTATCAACATATTTGAACAAGAAATCCGTACACTAAAAGAAACTCTATAGTTCAGTTGTAAAAACAAAATGCATTCATTAATTATAATATTATCAGTTTACGGGTTGTGGATGCGCACTGCTGAGAAATCCTACAATAGGACGAAACGGCCGTTCAGTGCTTCCAGGTTTTCAATGGTGATCTAACATCAATCGTTTCATGATCTCAATAAAAAAAATTATAATATTGACGAGCTAGGCTAATCAAACATATACCAAAATACAAACGCACACCATTGGTCAAGTTTCGACTACATTTCTGAATAAAGAGCACATTAAATTGTCTGAAATGTAGCTGTATTCCCTAAGGGAGAAAGATATGTATTTATGGATGAGCATGTATAAATGTTCACAATTTGGTTTTAATTAATAAAGTCTTCTCATTTAAACAAATGGTTTGGGCTGGCATTTAGCAAGTTTGTTTATCAGCGGTTGACACAGACACCACATGGCATAATGAATGTATGATGATGAAATCAATGAATTTCGACTAGTTTGAGATATAGTTCAACTATCTGAATACTTAACTCAAACCTTATAAATGTACTTTTTTCTAAAACTGCATTATGAGATAAAGACATTTATAACAGAGTAATTTACTTATTGAAGCAATTTATACTTGCAACAATTCAGAATATCAGCTAACCGTTAAATCTTATTGACATTTGTTCGCTTATATCGAAAGATGTGAACAACTGGTGATATGAATTTGACTAGGAAAACATTCAAAATATTAAGTAGAGTAAAACTAAATCCCTCAATTCAATCACACATCAAATAAGACATGATTTACCAATCAAGAAAAATGAAATGACAGATACCTACTACCTTAAAGATCAAATGAAAGTTAAAATAATATACAGACAGCAGCAACACAAGTAAGTAAACAATCAATTTAGTCCCACGTAGACAGAACAGGCTATTGTGAGACAGGGAGAATTCTAATAGTTCACATCTTTTTGAGGTATTTATTAATGATGTTGTCTGAAAAGACAATGAAAACTTAAAGATCAAAACTTGTAGCTCAAAAAAACATAACACTACTCATAAATGAACAGATTTAGTAAATTTGGTTCATGATTCATTTAGGATTTGGAACTGAGATACTTATTGCTCATTAACTATATATCAGATGGGACGGGTTATTTAATATTATGGAGTTCTGTGGTCTTGATGCCAAGTGGTAAATATGTTGATAACTGTAAGCTTCATTTGAATTACGATATATCACTTGGATAGACAATGCTGGTGAGTGGCCTATATTCCTCCACGAGCGGTAACAGGCCTAAGAAGGTAAGTAAGTAAGTAAGTGAGTACTTGGGTTCTCCGTTCTTCATTTTCTGGTCAATTTGTAACTAATTGAGAATTCATTGAACAGATTCCATAATTTCTTTTTATATACACAACTTTTAATGTTATCTAATAGTTGAATTCATCAGTCAGTTGAAGCTAGACCACCATGGAAAACCTGTAAGCATTGGACGGCCGTTTTATCCTAGTATGGGACTCCTCAGCAATGCGCATCCACGATCCCACCTCGTGAGATTCGAACACAGGACCTATCAGTCTCGTGCGCGAACGCTTAACCTCTAGACCACTGAGTCGGCATTCAACGGTGTTGATGTTTAACTTAAAATAATTCATGAAATTGAGCGACACTCCTACCATTGTCTTCAATGAGTTACTATCTCACAACAGACCTGATTAAACTCCACTGATCACAACTTTTCACTAGAACTCCAGAAGATACCTCCTAAAACCAGTCACTGATAATAATACAATTACCAATTTTTAATTTACAATCCTCCCCTGTAGTGTATAGTCTTGAATACAAGAAACAAAAATCTAGAATTTCCCAATTAAAAATGTTATTAAAGAAGAATAGCTCTTTTTTAAACAATTCAATCAACAAATTTTCAATTTACATCAAGATTTTATCTTAATCTAATAACTACTACTAACTAATGTTGTATTAAGAAACAATATTTGCATCAAACTAATATTTAATTGGCTGTAACCCTTAAAATAGAATAATAATGTTGTGGTGTGTACCATTTGTATAGGATAGATTGTAGTGAAGAACACAAGTGAGGACAACCGAATTATAATTAACACAACATTACAGAGTTACTTGGTAAAAAAGAAAAACCATACCACAATACCTAATTTGAAAAATGTTCAATAATTTTCTCGGACTTCATTGTTCTTGCATTTCTTTACTAATTGCTTTCTATTCCCGCCCTTCCTTTCTTGATCTTCCCAATCTTCTGCTGCCAGCC